GCATGTTCTTGGCGGCGTACCACTCCATGGCCTTTTTACCGTAATGGCAAGATGCCAAATCCGGCCAAAACAGTACGGAACAACCGTGTTTCTTAAGGAAAGGCAGCAGACGTTTATTCAAACACTCTTTCACGTAAATTTCTTGGTTGACAGTCCCGGAAGCTATGAAAATGCTGCACAGGTACAGATGGCTTGCCAAACCAGATATTTCTTTGCGAACTTTGACAGTTTCATGTGCTTGAAAACATCTGCTACCTTTCCCCTTCCTTTTGTCGTATAAAACTCCTGTCCCGGAAGCTGCTTGTAGTCGGCTTTGACGTAGGTTTCGTCGTCCATTACCACGCAGTCAAACTTCGTCAGCATCGTCGTGTACAGCCTCCGGGATCGCGCTTTGGCCGTCGTATTTTGTTTATCATCGCGATTTGGAGTCACTACCTTCTTGTAAGTCGATAGTCCGGCTCGTTTTTTGGCTCGATGCACGGTTGTAGACGATACACCCAGCTTATTTGCGGCATCTCGGAGAGAGAGGTTAGGGTTTCGCTTGAAACTACCGGCAACTCTCTTTGTCGTCTCAGCGGCTTCCGGTTTTCGATTTCCCCCCGATCCAGACTTCCTGGCTGTCGACAAACGTTCCCCAAACACTTTAATTACATTTGTAACGGTTGATTTGGCAACTTTTAGCGATTTTGCCAACTTTGCGTGCGAGTAGCTCGGATTTTCGCGATGCGCGAGCAAAATTTTGATACGCTGCTCTTCTTGCTTGGACGGCATTTTGACAACTGAAGAGTGAATTCCAAAATCAAAATAGGAGCAACATTCTACACACACACACCTTCAAAATGAGGGGTGTTCAGGTTTTTTAAATGCAAAATTGAAAGAAATACGTCAAGTTGATATTGACCAAATTTTGACCGTATCACCCTTTATAGCAGATATTCTGCTCATTAGGCAAAACCGATCTTTGAAGGAGACCTTAGAGGACATCTTAGGATTCTAAAAACTGTTAGTATCAACTCTCTAGTAAGGAAAAACGAAGACTGGATGGAGAAAAGATACAATTTCAATCGACTTTTTCAAGTAGTTGACCCTGGGTGTAATTCATGGCAATTTGGTGACCCCGTTCTTCGTCCAGGATCGATTGTTTTTTATACAGATGGTTCAATATTGAACAATCAAGTGAGAGCAGGAGTAACTGGTCCAGGGATAGAAATATCGGTTACTATGGACAGATGGCCAACTGTAATCCAAGCTGAAATCAAAGCAATTATTTTAGAGTGTTCCATTATATGTTTGCGTAGAAACTCAAATATATGCGTCATGTCCGACAGTCAAGCTGCTCTTAATGCTTTAAAGTCGGCGACATGTGCATCAAAACTTGTCTGGGAGTGTGTTCAATCACTTCAAAAATTGTCTTGTCATAATCAAGTCAACTTATATTGGGTCCCTGGCATTGCGGGATTGAGGGAAATAAAAGAGCTGATGTACTAGCAAGACTCGAATCTTCTCATAAGTTCATCGGGCCAGAGCTCTTTTGTGGCTTATCGGCTGCATCTCTTAGAATGGAGCTAAAAGCGTGGGAATCTTCAAAAGTGGAGGAAAACTGGAAGAACACTTCTATTGCTAGGCAGTCGAAACGATTCTTTAATCCAAACATTTATGTGACCCACAAAATCCTGGAACTTTCTAAGAAAGATCTTAGTATATATGCAGGTCTTATAACAGGTCATTGTCCGAGCCGTTATCACTTTGGAAAACTTCAAGATGATGTATGTCGCTTCTGTGGCATAGAAAAGGAAGACTCGGAACATTTGCTATGCCACTGCACGGCAATTTTCAATAAAAGGCGTAAGTTCTTCGACAAGGGGCTGATAGAACCCTTTGACATTTGGAGAAAAACTCCCAGTATGGCAGTGCACTTTATTCGAAGTATAATGCCGTGCTGGGATAATGCTATTAGTCAAACGATGGCGATCACTCCTACCCTTGTAGCACACTTTAATCACAATAAGTTACAGCAACTTGTTTATGACTGAAATAAGCAGTATAAAAGTTACTACAATTGATTTGTGACAAGTGTGCTACTAGGGTAATCATAGTGATACGGCATCTTGATATAGCTAAAGAAAAAAATGGGGAATATATCACAATAGATCAGAAAAATGGTCGCAGTGATGAAAATACCCGACAAGGAAAAAAAAAGCAAAACCGATCCCTCTAGGGTTATCGAGCATCTCAAAACCCCAATACTCCACGGCAAAATATGATTAAGTTTCCACTTGGTATGTAATGAACTACAGAAATACGCGATAATTCATATAGTTTCAGCGACTCATGGTTAATTTTAAATATACCACAGACAAACAGATATAACACATTGAATATTTCTCACTGTAAAACATCGTCGCTAAAACATTATCGCCATCTGTTGAATACAGTGTGATGAGCACTACGCTGAACAGATGGCGGTAGTGTGTGGACGTCAAACGCAAGGGGATTGACTATGAGCGCCACAGATGGCGATACTACCAACTATGATACTTTTAAGTTGTCCGTTAAATGCTTGTTCGATGAACAACTTGCGAGTGTTATGTCTGTTTGTCTGTGAATATACTAACGGTACTACCTACAGTGATTATGACGGCTATTACGACAGCGACTACGACGGATTTATAACTTACCATTTGTCTAGTATATAGCACCTTTGTCCGGCAACTACACTTGAACTTCATGTCTGCTATCTGTAATATCTAATAGCAATTACCTTTGTTGTAATACTTCCTTCAACGAAAACAAATTTTCTTGCATTGCTATGGTCATCTAGGAGAAGGATTAAGTCTAGTGCTTTCTCCAGGAAATCTTCATGCACCTTCAGCTTGCTCACAATCTCCGACACTGGCGAGAGACCAGTAGAAGAGCACTTTTGCAAGTCGCAAACTTGCAACTGATTCACGGCAACGTTGGCCACCGAATCACCACCAAAACTCGCGACGGACACATTATCACCTGGGAGGCAATGAAAATCACAAGTACACTTACACACCGCTGGTTACAAAAAAATTGGAGGGTGTTGTACAAGACACGACCGCATTGTTGACGTAGGGTTACGACATTTTTATTCGATTTGTTAGTTTGATGTTTCGGATATTGTTTTGGAATAATGTGAATTTCATAACTCAACTCTTTACAGGAGTGTTCGTTGCGTTGTTCACTGAAAACGAATCATACTCAGATAGTGAGTCACTTTTACTCATTCGTATGAAGACATTTTTAGAAGGGTAGGTTACTCATGCGCTGAGTATCCTAAGCTTTAAGAAAATTTTCCCAACGGATGAGTAAAAGTTAATCACTGATTTAGCTTCGTTTTCAGTATGCAACGCAACGAACACTCCTGTTTATCACTCCGCAGTCAAATAATGACTACAGTCAAACTTTCTACGTTTCCCTTACTTAAGCAATTAGATAAGCATTCTATGCCATGAATGTTGTGCGATAAAACAGTTCCCAAAAAATACCCCCAATAACAAAAAAAAAAAAAAATCCTTCAAAGAGCCGCTGGACTGAACGGACGTTCGCTCACACGAGTTCAATTTGGATTCCGGCCGGAGCACTTTTGAGGACGGTTCAGTCTTATTTACAATAAACTAGAGCTCTTATGTAAAGATTTATTGCTCGCCTTGAAAAAGGCCGTTTGTTTTCACTACATTTTTATGGGTCACTGATAACTTGAGCAATTCCTACTGATTGCAATACTCAAATTCTTCTGATATCGACGGATCACAGTTGCTCCGATGAGCTGGATTAGGTACATGTTTGGCAAAGATAACCCACGGACCATGGTGGTGGATCTCACGACGGTAAGTGCAGCTATTCCATTTCCGTGGACCGATTTGCGTCTGCATCTGGTTGTTTTTCGTTGGATTGAGGTGTATGTATTGAGCTGCTAGAAATGCTGCGATTTCCACGCTGTAGCGAACAAGTCCGAGGTCAAACCGTCCAACGTGCAACGTTGAATGATTGTGCGGCTTCGGCTTGTGTCAATAGGGATCAACTTTCTGATGACTGTGTTAGGGAAAATGTATGGGAAATTCTAATATTTCCATATTTATTCATTGTTAACTATCTAAATATTTAACAATTATAATGTGTGTCATACCGGAAATCTTATAACACTGGTAAATCGATCGACATGCAAATCATCAAAATCCATTGGTTATTGGCCATGTTATTAGCATTTGAGGTCTGACCAATTTTCGTTGCATTTACCTGAATTGACACCCTTCCCGAAAGACGTCGTCCTACGTCAAAACAAACCCATGCAAATTAACGGATCCAATAAACGACACTCTCGCGAAAGCAAACCCGACGTCGTCAAACGGCAAAAAATGAACTCGCTGAGCAATTTAGTGACACGGAATTTCCACTGAAAATCAACTGGGAATGCACGAATTTTAACATACCCAACTACAAACCGCGTTCAGAAGGACTTTTGGTACACTTTCGATATCAATTTCGGTTGAAAACACTTAATTTTTCTCAAAAATAGTAGCGAGCGAACCAACATCAACACCGACCGTGCCGAACTCTTTCACACACCTTACAGCGCGTAAATAAACTCAGTGGCCTACATTAACTTAAAAGGGGCAGAAACTGCTAAAAATCGTTTTTTTTTTCAAATCATTCAACATGATACCAAAAAAGACAAAATAGATCTAAGTCCTGGTATAATAACCACGTGACCTGATTAGGTTAAATGATCCATCGCCAGATCAATCGGTAGACGACAAGGTTTAAATCAGTCAAATAACAACAATTACCAGTGGGAAACCTCAACCTGATAAGAAAAGAAAGTTTACGCTAAGCTTAAATAAATAAACACCCACCGGAATTTCTGTTCAATCTGTAGATTAACCGTACACGTAGCGGAAATGTAAACAACAGTTGATAACAGTATAAAGGATGCATGCAACCGAATGTGCAGCATCAGTTTCTTCACCGCTATTGCATCGTAAGGAAGCCCTAACTTAATCATAATGCAATCGCTATTCTCCCGCGTCAAGCGTCAAACCAACTCGGTCAAGACCGGTGACTTGCAGAAGTTCCGAACCAGGGACAATGCCTACCTGCAGTTCATCGGCGAGCTGAAGTCAGTGTTTACCGAACCGAACGAAATCTACGGCAACATCAAGGTTACCAAGCGTCGCGAAGGCATCACCAAGGTTAACATCAAGGACGGTGCCACCCAGGTCGGTTTCATCTACCGCAATCGGGATCTTTACATTATTGGATTAGTTACCGGATCAACTTTCTACATAGACAAGGAAGTGTACGATGGCCTGGGAAAGAAGATTCCAAGTGCGTGGACGAGTGTGATCGGCACTAGCAAGGTTGTGGCACTGTCCAATCCATTCAGCTACAACCAGATTTTGCCGAGTGGCGAGAACACCGAGCTGCAGATCGGCAAACTGGGTGATTCGTTGACCAAACTCACCCAAGTGGGAGACACTTCGAAGCGCTCGCAGATCATGACGCAGCATCTGGGGCCGTTTGTGGTGGCATTTTCCGAAGCAATTCGCTTTCCCGTTGTTGCCCGGGAGGTACAGGGTGCGATCCGGAAGGCAACCGGTACGGTCAAACTATCCAAGAACCTCGTCAATCAGCTCAGCTTGGGTCATCCATCGGAAAGAACCAAGGGCTATGTTTTTAGCATTTATTCATTGCTGTTGAACTGGAGCAAGCTCTCGGATCGGGTAGTTCCACTCTATTCAAATCCGCCTCAGCCTGCTCCAGCCCTACAGGACGGCAAGTACACCCTTCGCTTGGAAAAGAACCAGCTCAACACGCTGCTGGGAGTGGCCAACTCGTATCGCTTCACGCAGATCAACACCGGCCCCGGCCGTGGCAAACGGGACTTGACCAGTATTTTTGATAATGCAATTCCGCAGCATCCAGCGCTGTTGGAACAACAGCAGATCAACCGAATTGATTACGAAGGCAATGCGGGGCAATCGCCTCCGATGTCGTCTTCCTCTGGCATTGCCTCGATTACGCACAGTCCAGATGTGGTGGGAGCACTGCACCTGCTCACCGTGGGGCTGCTTTATCTGTACGGTAGAAAAATGAATGTTCCTATTGGAAACAACCAGCGACCTCTCGATCCACGGGAGGCGTACGGAATAGCCGTGGATCTGACCGACAGGATTGAATGTTTTCTTAAATCCACTGGTTTGGAGCTGAATTTGGGTTTCGAGGAGGAAATGCAGCTTCAAAGAGAGGTGGCCAGGGCACTGGTTCGTGGCGAACGGGTGGAAGAGATTTTGACAAAAGTCTTGGAGTGGAACTTTTCGCTGGAAAAGGATGGTGTTGGATTGGAAAAGGTTAGCAGGCAGGTTTTCCAGGCATTGGCTACCGAAGCTGGATTTTTGGAAGGTGGTGAATTTGAAGGAGATAGGTGTTTTCAGTGAATTGTGATTTTTTGTTTTATCGTTTGGATTTGAAGAAGAAATTAGTCTTGTAAGGAGGATCGCCAGTAGACGGATTCGTCTTCCGAGAGTTCCGGATCTAATTGCCCAGCTAGTCAAATTTTAAACCTACCTAAAGGATCCACATCCAAGTTTTCCAGCTCCCAATACCAAAACTTCTCACAATTCCAAAATTCTAATTTTGATTCTAGTGCAGTAAGTAGAGTAAAATTTCTTCTTCCAATTAATTTGAAATACCTAGGATAGAGTAAATGACAATATTCATTAATTTTAAAGCGAAATTAATCGTTTCAAAAGCTAGTTGGAACGGTCAACTGATTTAAAAAAATGCGAAGTTCAATGATTGCTTTTAAATGTTTTTTGCTTAAATAAAGATTCATGAAATTCCCTAACGCTAACTCCTGCTCAAAACTAGATATGTACAGAGAAACAATCAGTTGTTCTCCCGGAGCGTATGGCTTGTCAACGGGATCGAACTCTCTGGTTGTTTATCAGAAACTAAAGCTGGGTTTAGACAGGGTAAGTCAAATGATCAACTCAGTTGAATTCAATTGGCTTGAAAAGTTGAGCCTGGTTCAACTTTTTTCAATTCAAGTGAGTTGATCAAGTCAGTTGAATGGCATGGTTTACACGTTCAATTCGCGTTCAAGTCAGTTGAATTCAACTGACTTGATCAATTGACTTGCCTTGTCTAATCCCAGCTTAAGTGTTTCATCACACCCTTCGTTTTGTGTGTTTCTTGTTGTGAGTCGATCCTAACCCTTTCGTCTGGTATCTTCCCCTTCTAAATATTGACAATGCATCAGTCCCTACTCTGTTGGCGGTGCATATGATTTTCACACAAAGCTCTCGATTGGTAAGATACGATTCAAAACAACCAGTGAGTTCTTGAAAGACACCGAGCTTCTAGAGTTTGGCAAGTAGAATGGCATGATCAACCCGGTCGAAAGCAGCCTTGAGATCCGTGTATACTGCCGTTATACGCATAAGAGTCCCACGGTGCATAAGGATTGCATAGAACATGGGACAGTTATGCGTAGAACGGCAGTATACGACTGTGTGGTTTGTTGAGACCGAACGTTTGGGGTGGAAACCATGTTGATCAGAAGAAATGTAGTTTCTACAGCTGGAAAATAAAGCGTCGTTGATGATTATCTGGAATACAGCTTTGTCCTGAAGAACGCGTTACCCACTGAGTTGCACTCACCGCTTTGTCTCGGTGGGTTTTCAACCAAGCGCTCTGATTTTCTGCGAGTGACTAGTTCGCCATTGGCACTACATGCAAAAAATCAGACCGACTGGTTGAAACCCCGTCGAGAAAAAGCGGTGGGTGCAACTCAGTGGGTAACGCGTTCTTCGGGGGATAGCTGTAGTAGCTTCTGGATGGCAGAGTCGACGAGGTCCAATGTGACCGTGAAAATATCAAAGCTGAACGCGTCACTGAGAGTATCACTGATTACTTCTTCAGCAACTTGGCTCAACGATGCCGTTGAAACGTTGAAAACACTCTGCCAGGTTACATTTTTCTAAACCAGGCTTGCTGAAACTCCTCAAATTCACTGGAGGTTTTAAAACACTCATGTCCTGCGAGTTTAGCCAGCCCTCACCTCGAGTGAGTGGCGGTAGGAATATCGCAGAAGTAAACAAAAACTCCTCCAGAGAGAGGGAGAGTGAACTTCAGCGAGAGGATGATTTGACGTGAGGGGCGCTTTTCGAGACTCCGGATGACTTTTTTGTTCGACGCAAGAAGCTCAAAGTTCACCCAGAGTGAGAGGTAAGAGCGTGTGATAGAAAACCTGGGGGGGGACGTGCTGTCAAATCAGCCTACTGATCATTCTTGTATGAATCTGGCTCCAAACGTAAACAATCGCTGTAGGTTTCTTATGGCTTGTTTACGTTTGGAACCAGTTATGCGAGGCATGCGAGGTAGGCGACGATTGTTCGTATTTGACAGCCACCTCCCCCCCTTGTAGAAAACATGAACATGAATGCCAGCAAACCTCACTCTCATTTTATCCCCCTTCGCTCTCAAGCTCTGAAGCTCAGTGGAATGATTTGGCTGTCGGGGTTAACCTCAATCTGATGACAGTTCAGTGGTACTGTTTACGTGGACTTAGTCGATTTTTTCTTGGGTGGATTTTCTCGATAATTTTTCGGACTGCAGTGAGATGTAAACCACACTTATGTAATGTCCATGAGCAACATCCTTTCTACGCGCTGTTCCTCGACAATTTTCAAGTTGAAATTCGGAAATTTAAGAATATTTTTTTCGAAAAAACGACTAAGTGCTTGTAAACAGTACCACTGAACTGTCAAAAAGGTTCAACCGGCTAAAACTGAGTTCATTTATGACGTCACGCTGCAGTACCTAGTAGGCATTCTACTCCTCAGAAAAATGCTACGCTCGGCTCATTTCAAACTCGCGAGTTAGGCTCCATCAAGCCTGTTCTAAAGAAGTGTTGACTCTTTTATTGTTGCTTAGATGAATCTCAACCGGTAGTCCATCCTCTTTCCTTTTTGTCTTCACAAACGTCCAGAAAAGCTTAGGATTACGCCGGAGATTGAACTGCATACGTCTTGAGTACTTCTTGTATGGAAAACGGAAACATTCGATAGCCATCATTTGCGAAGAGCTTTTGATCTCACACGCTTCAAGTGTTGTAATCGAGCATTAGACCATGCAGGTTTTGGAGCAGGTCTCGTCAGAGTCACACAATCCACTGTTAATCGGCTCACAACTTCGTCGAAGTCAAGCCAATCTACCTGGGCCAGTGAAGCCAATTCTTTGAAAGCCCAGACTTTGTACAGCAACGATGTCTTCATAGATAACAGGAGCTGATCAAGTGATGAATGCTTCCAACGCTGAATGATCGGCGTCTAGATGTATCAGAGGTTCGAATGCCTTGGCGATACTACTCTCTAGTGCTGCGGCTTCGTTCACGTGCACAAGATCAAGCATTAATTTACAGGCTGAAACCATCCAAAATAGCGCAGTAGGAAGCAGGCATGTACGACCGAAGAATGCCAATGGTTGGATGATCATTCACGGAAATATTCCAAACAAGCCCAGACTGGTTGTAGTTGCCAAATAGCAGAGCTAGATCGTTGTGATGCAATCGGGACAGTACAGAAATTAGAATTATGGTCAGGAGTATGGTTCATAACGCCGATGCTTACAACGTTGTGTGATGTCGTAATCTTCAACCGGAATAGTACTGACCGAAGCAGGATCGAGGCAGCAGTTCAGTCGTTTGGAAACCGCAATCAAGACGCCACCACCACGTGATTTGGCTCTGTTCATCCGGTTACGGTCATTGCAAAAAACTGACAGCATACTGCCAAATAATTGTGATGAGCCAGGTCTCGGTACGAACTATTGCATCGTAGTTGGACTCAACGGCAGTCAAGAATAAGTCGTCAATCTTAGTTTGCAGGCCACGAATATTTTGATAATACACCACAAGTCCATCGGATAACATAGGTTGGCAATCGGAAAGGCGAGGTCCAGTCGGTGGTGAAGAAGGCGTTGCACTGAAACGTTGAGGCTGATCAGACGAGGAATTGGTTTCAATAAACGCATACTTGCCTGAAGTCCAAGGTTGGAAGACCCCTTCACCGTTCGCAACCACAGGTTCAGAACGACTACGGTGGCAGGAATCAGTAAACACGGTTGCGTTGAGAGGCTTCAGGGCTTCCATGGGGCGGCAGCCAATGCGTTCTGGGCTGACAATTTCAGAAACGTGCCAGCTACGATTCGGTGCAGTATATTTAGAATCGGTGTTGTACACGGTGCCACTTGGCTCAGTTTTCGGAAGACCGATTTCCGTTTGCTGAGGCGTTCCTTGTCCCGGATCGACTGGAACGTGTTGAATGACCTTGATATCGATACAGCAGTCGCTCGCTATAATTGCCTTTTGCGCGACTGTGTTTGTGCTTCAGTACCGAAGTGCCTGCCTCCAAGAAAATCGCCTTGGTCTAATGCTACTCTCCGCAACCTGAAACGAGAGCGAGCTAGAGCTCTCCGCGCTCTCACTCATCTACATCGTCGACATTTTTCAATTGCCAGCAATGATTATCGCCACTATAACAAGCTTTTTTACAAGAGGTATGTAATTCGTACTCAACATAATCTGCAATGCCACCCCAAGAGATTCTGGTCGTTTGTGAATACGAAGAGGAAGGAAACTTGACTGCCGTCAAAAATATTTCTCGGCAATGACGTAGCATTGACAACTGAGGACAAATGCAGCCTATTTGCTAGGCACTTCTTAAGTGTCTTCTCGAATGACTCCCCATCGCAAGCAGAAATTGAGCGAGCCGTCCGTGATGTGCCAACCGACGTCGTAAACATGGATGTTTTTGCCGTAGATGTACAAATGGTTCTTGTCAGCTTGGATTCAAGTTCAAGATCTCTAAGGATTTCCGTGATCCTCTGTGTTTCAAAGCCCTTTACTGTTCATTGGTACGCTCACTACTGGAATTCGCGTGTGTTGTTCAACGCAAATTCGTCAGCTACGCACTGCGCTATCTTCCTTGGAGCGACCCGCTGAATTTACCACCGTATGTTGACCGCTGTCGTTTACTGGGTTTGGATACTCTTGCTGAGCGATGAAACGTATCGCAGGTCATCTTCGTTGCTAAAGTCTTCCCAAGTAACCAAAAGTTCTGATAAAAGGCTATTTGTGGCTTATGCAGCTTGGTTGAAGGTGGTCTATAGAATTCTAAGCAGCCTCATGTTTAAATCGTTATAAGAACTAGAAAGTTCCGGTACCATAATTGAAAAGTATTCTAAGCAGCTTCTGGCGGAACTTGAACAGAAAATAAGTTAAAACAAGATTTTTGTCCTCTACACCAATTCTATATTTAGTTCGCACTTTTATGAAAGTTAATTCTAAAGTCAGGTCTTTATGAAATTTATTTCTGAAGGTAGGTATGAACGTGTATTGATTTATCAGCTGGAGCATTGAAGCTGTTTGAAAAATTTAAATAAGTCCTTCTGCATGAGAGCCCCAGTACGAACCGCTACGTCATCTGAAATATATTAAAGTAAGCTGCTGTTCCGCCTACTGTTGGAGTTTTCAGTACCAGCTGACTGACTTGAATACGAAACACAACACCTTAATGGATTTAAATTGGTGTTCCAACACACTTTTGGCGCAGTGGCTAGTGTTCGTAGATCGCATGCCAAAAATCCAGGAAATTGCACTTTGATTTTTTTTATGTTTAAATAGAATGTTGATGCACTGCTTATTTCATATTTAAGTGCATTCAATTTTGTTACTAATAAAGACTTGTGCGGATTGCTTCATGTGGGCTATGACGGACCTTTTAAGAAACTTTCAAGTTGCTAAGAAGTTCCACAGGGAAGTTTTAAGATGCTTTAAAGTTGCTAAGAAGTTCCGCTGGGAACATTTTCGGAACTTTGTTGTGGTCATGTTTTCAGCCTTGCCTGAAGTTCCTAAGAAGTGCTTAGGGATGCTTTAACTAACTTTTTAG